GTTCAGCAGCACCAGGGTGGTCTATTTGAAATGAATGGCAGCTTGTGATAGATGAGACCCTGCATCTTAAAACTGCCACCATTAGGTGACACTACGTGGGACCCTCGATAGTGATATTGGAGTGAAGCCAAAGACTTGAGTGGCTCATGGAGCCTAAACTACTCCTATTAAACCCAGAGATGGTGCCCCAGCTCCCTGTGAATAATCTTTTATTGCTGATGACCATGCAGTGCCTGTTCTTTGGCTAAATAATGCTGGATCCCAAATTGCTAAATCTCACACCAGAAATGGATCTGATACATTGAAGAGGCTTCACAGCCTTGCTGCGTTCCAGTTTGTCCCACGTTCGTGATGGGATCTATAACATGAGTCTTCAGAGCAAAGAAGCAGCCAACCTTCAAAGGAACTCTAATGCATAAATGTTCAGCTCTCAAACTTCTGGGTGGCTACCATTCTGCCTCCTGAAAAGCAGCCCCTGCCGTGTCTGTGCTGAGATCCCTGAGGCTAGCACTCAAGCAGCAGAGAACACCTCCAAGCAACACACATGATACTCTGGTGAACTTCCAAAATCTCTGGAGACGCTTTGGACAATATCCCAGCTAGTTTGGAGGCTTTATCGTTGTTACAACGCAGTCAGAGGTGCAGGGGGAATGGCAAGGGTAGAATTTCCCATCCCATCTCTAATCTTATGCATGAGCAGTGGGTGTCCCCTATGTTGGAACACTTTTTGGCCATGTAAATTGGCATCTCTTGCCTGGCATACACTAGAAAATAGGTCTGGGAAAAATCCACACTCCTGAGCAATGTAATTAAGGCAGCCTAAATCCCTGTGTAGATAGTACCAGGTCAATGGAAGAATTCTGTCAATCTAGCTACAGCCTCTCCTGGAGGTGGATTACTGCCTCCTATTAGCATAGTAATGTCTCTAGGGTTGGAAGTGTAGAAAACCCCCAGTAAGTGTGAATTCACTTACATTTTCAGGCCTGATGCAGGAGATCAAACTGACTTAACTTCCTGAGGATGTTATGGTACTGTTAACATGCAAGGAGTCTTATACTAGTTCTGTGCTATATCCTGTAACAACAGCTCAGTAACATTTCTGTAGGGTTTTATGGTACCATCCTTAACTACAACTGGAACAACCTAGACTTCTCATGTTACCTTTTAGCTAATAGCGATAGCAATAAGTCAGACAAACTGCTGAGGGATGGCAGTTCTTAGAAAGTTCAGCCTTGCTTTGTCGACCGATCAATAGACAGGCTGACTTGGTAAACCACATCCTGTGCCACCCCAGCACTGGGGCTGCCAATACTAATAAAAAAAGTCCAGTGACAACGGCTGCTTTAAAACAAACATTCCCCTGCAATGTTTGGAACCTTAACATTGCAGCAGCACGAGCTAGTAGGTGCAAGTGGCTGCAAATCAAGTGGAATGGCTTTCACTTTAGTTAGTGGACACTGAGAGAAATGCAAAATGGCAACCAGCCGAAAGCAACAGATGGTCAAGATCTCTTAAAATTCCTTCCCTTTTAAACATTGCCAAGAACTGGCTTTTACTTTACATTTTTAGAAACTTTACCAAGGGAAGGGGGTGCAGCTTGATAACCTCACATTTTAAGAACTTGTCCCTATCCGCCTTTCCTTTACTCATACCACAGTTAAAACACCATCTTGTTTTTTTGCCTGCTAGGAATCCAAAGCAAGTACAGAGCCAGTATGAAGGAGCTTTCAAGTAATGTTAATTCTGGACTGTTAAAGCTTCAGCGCTCACGTTAGAAACACCGTTCGTTCTCTGCTGGGAGAGTGCAACTTTGCTGCATCCAGGAAATGCGTTTGTTCTTTTGCTCTTTTTTTTTTTTTTTTTTTTTTTGCAGAAGAGCAAACACACTCTATCAGGGAGCTCTGTATACTCATTCTAAGAGGAATAAGGGCTCCGCCAAAAGAGGAGGCTTGCGGCCAAATGGCAGAAAATCCTCTTCCAAAAAAGCAATCGGGGGAAAAAGCTACGTGAAGTGTGGAGCACAATTTGCATAGCTTTTTTTGATAAGAGTGTAGTCTACACCAGTGGTCCCCAATGTTTTGGGGCTGCCGAGCACCTGGGGGTGGGGCTGCTCACGCACCACGCGTCCGGGGGCAGGGCTGCTCATGGGCCATGTGCTTGGGGGCAGGGCCAAGCATGTGCCGCGTGCCGGGGCTGGCACCGGCATGGGCCGGGACCCCGGCCA